GTTGAAAGGAACAAATCCAGGTTGTTTGAAGCTCCTGCAACAGTTTTGCGTTGGTTTATGGTGGGTTCCGGTTTGGTTCAGGGTGTGGTGGTTTAGGCTGGTTCTAGGGACCAAATATCACCAAAAACGTCAACATACTCGCAAAAAGCAAGCCCGGAGAAAAGCAAAAAGAACAAAGAAGAACTTCCATTTGCTTAAGCCCCCTAAAAAAAATGTTTCCAGTACTGATAGATTCCCTTTAAAACCAACAGGGGAAAATAAACAATGTTCATTTCAGCAAATAGGAGAAGAAACACAAACTGAAAAATGACCCTTCAACGACAGTAACCCATGGTAACCCGTTGATCTGTGAGTTGAGGCTCGGCGATCGGCTCACCAACCCTACGACCTGGCCCGTCATACCTGGAAAAAAACGAGTCGGGGCCCGCCCCAAAAAGGGCTCACAAGAAAGAGCTCCTTGTAGAATGGGGGCCTTTTGGGTTCCACGTTTTTCGCAAGGCCGTAGTTCTTTACAAAAAAAAAAAACACAAGGTTCCCAGCATCACAGTCAGCACATCTCATACCACCCTTGAAGTTTGGCAAAGGACTCAGCTCCTTCACGCACGCATTGCACCACAAGGACGCCTGCCTCGACTGCCACAGCAGCTGCATCTGACGCCTGCACGTCCGAAGCACTACCCACCCCCTCTGTTTGGTTAATGATGGGGGTATAAACACGGTAAACCTCATCTAGAAGGCTTATAACCCCATTCATGACCACACAGCGGCGGCCAAGCACAACCCCCCCAAAAAAGAATATCCTCCCAAGGATTGTGGTTCGGGCTTAGCAAGCCTCGTTGAGGCCAAAGCTAAGTGAGGCTCATCAAAGCTTACGTGAGGCGCGGTCACAAGCACTTGGTGAATCGGACAATTTGTGAGTCACCCAGCTTTTGTGGGCGAATTTAGTGAGTCCCCCCCATGTCCCTAAGTGGGCCACACATCATGGTAAGTTTGGCCGATTCTACAACTGTCCCAAAACATCACGCGCAGCTGCCGCGCGCCTTGCTTGCAGCGATTTCTTCTGCCTGAAGCTGGCAGCCAATAGGTACGCAACCTGTTCTACAATGCTTCTGGGGTCTCTGGGCCTGACAAAGGATCCGTGGCCATGATTTGTTGGGGGAAATCGACCTTTATATGGTCTTTGACTTCCCGGATGGGATCGCACCCTCCCAATCCATCCATACATTGTGATCTCTTTCATGGCTGTCCGGTCAACTTGTGCACCATCAGCACTGCAGCGCGCCTGGGTTGCGTCCGCGGCTGCTTCTGATGCTGGAGCCTGGCCGCCAACAACTAACAACACATATGCAGCACAAAATGTCTGAAGATGAGTATACTGGCTGTGGCTCAAAAAACCGGTGCCAAAATGGAACCCTGGTAAGTGGAAACATGGACCAACACCTGCGTAACCCCTCCTGTTTAACTTGCAGCCACACCCACATGAGCTCTGTGCAATGAAGTCATTGCCCTCCGGGTGGCAATTGCATCACAAAATCCTGCCTTGGCTGCTTCGGCAACGAAATCTGATGCTTGCACTCAAAAGTGCGCAATGCAATGACAAGATCAGTGCAGAAGGGACCCTGCAAACCATCTCCTGGGCAAAGATCCCGGCAAAGTTTAGGGAGGGCAAAAAAGGCCAAACGACGCCTAATTGGTTGGGGGTGAGGTCTTTGGGGGGTTGGTTTGTAGGGTCCCTGAATGGTGAATCATTTTGTGGCTGTCCAGTCTATGTCACAACTCCAGCGCCTTTGCATCGGCGGTTGCCTCTGGCACCTAGCAGCAATGTGATGGGCAGCGCACAATATTACCCGGGTATGTCCTGGGTCAAAAGGCCCAAGAAGAAAGGGTCTTCTATCAAGCCGGTTATTTGTCCTCTTGCAAGATGACTCATTGTGGGCCTGTCGTATGGTCTTTGACTTCCAGGGCGGCCTCTGTCGCTTTTGCAGATTAGGGTTCAGCTTTTGGGTCGTCCGCTATAGACTTATGAAGGCCTGCTGCGAATTGATCAGTACCTGCCCCGGCACCCTTCCCAGTTACCAGGATTTTCAGACTCTACATTGTGCAAGTGTGCTGCTTTTTCAGGGACCGCCTACCACGAAGCAACCCCAACCTTTCAGTTGCTCGTGCCAGCGTACGCCAATACAGCTTGATCAGCTCAGCATGTTTCTAGACTCGGATAGGACCAAAGAAGCAAAACCAAAAGGTCAGAAGCTTGGCTTTGAGCAACTGAGAAAGCGAGTCCCCCCACAAAAAAAAGAGCAAAAAAGCAAACATGTGTGTTGCGTAAAGTAACTGCCCAACAAAGGCACGAAAAGGACGGCAAGTTGCCACCGCTGCCAGGATGCAATGGCAGTTAAACTAAGCATTGGCCAAACCCCAATGACATTTGCAACCAAAATAAATACAAAGGTGTCTTATCCCCAACAACCCTCACTCGGTTTGGGGCACTGGGTCTGGCATCAACACCTTTCTGGGCTGTTTAAAGTGAAGTGCCTGATCCTTAGTCCGAATCCATAGGACACTTGTAGGGAAACCACTGCCATTTGGCAGAATGAAGGATTCCTGCAGTCTCCATGACTCCTCAAATATATGAGGTCGTCATACATCCACCCACTTTTAAAGGGTCACGGAAACTCCAAGGAATCGTTTTTGGGCAACTAAATCCCAGTTGCTCATTGATCCCGACAGAAAACGGGACTCGTTTCGGGGTTGACATTTTTATCAGGGATTACACCGTGCACATCATCAAGATCCTCCGGGTCTACTAGCAGGAGCGGTCTGTCCTGTTGAAGCAGAACAGAAGGGGCGGCGTTGAGGACGTGGAGGAGATGGTTGATCCGGGTTGGTGAGCTTCGCATTCAGCCCCCGGCCGATCAGCAGTCTGCGCAGGTGGCTTTCAGGCTGCAGATCGCGCGGGCGGCCTTGAGGATTCTGGATGGTGTTGAGAAGTTCGGGAAATGCTGCAGGCAGAAGGAGAGTCTGCTCACCATGGAGGTGGAATGGCAGCGAAGGACACCACCAAGGTCAAGGCTATGGATGGTGGGAAGGTGAAGGAGCCGGTTAAGAAAGAGAAGCCCAAGGACTCGGGTTCCTATGACAAGGACAACTCGGCTCCATGTCGGTACTTCCTCACGGTGGTGGCTGCAAGAAAGGAGGAGCGTGCGGCTTTGCTCACCCTACGAGTAGTCGAACTTTTGAGATGGTCGCGCACTCAATCCCCATGATGTGGGGAGGGGAGCCTGTGCGTGGCATGAACCGTTGATGGTAGCCTTTTCCAATCAAGGATTTGAGATAGGAGAAAACGGGGCTCGCGCTTGAAACGAGGTAAGAACCCCTGTAACAATGGGTTGTCACCCCAAAAAGTGGATTTGGGAGAGCCCATGGCTCTCACATCTTCAAGCATCATAGCACAACCTTGGCTGCTTTCTCCGCGCGTGTCAAATGGATTTGTGTATTCCCATCGCCCCAGCCTCAGCCTCTCCCCAACAAAAACAACATGTTTGATTCCGGCCCACTTTTGGTGAACACGTACAATGTGATGTTCAAACGCGACCTCAGTTTAACCCCGAACACGCGGTTCCGCCGTTTACTGCAAAATGGTTTCCGCTTCCCCCAAACCACGCTGATGGCAGAAGCATAGACGCGCAAATCGCAAAGAGTCTCGCGTCAACTGACCCTTTGTGATCACTATATATTAGACCGGGCTGTTCAACATAAAGGATTGGCCAATCCTAGTACCAATCCTTGGGAAACCACCACAAACAAGCCCCCGCTCGTAACACGAGGGAAGGTTCATCGGGTTGGGACCCTTTGCCTGGAGCCTCGCAACCCTCGCCCCAAAACAGTTCGGAGCTTTTGCCCCTTTCAGAAGTGCCCCTTTTCAGTGGAAGAACAAAAAGACATGGGTCTTTTTGTTGAGGCCCCTTTCCAGGTTGCTAAAAGTGTAGACACACCCCAGGCCTCGGCTTCCGCAATCCTCGCCTCGGATAAGGGGCAACCAAGCCCTGACGCCTTCAAAGGGAAACCAAAGGGAGAGGTTTCTGACGAATCGAGGTTACACATATTTAAGCAAAGGATGGGCCCAACCCTGTAAAGTAGGTAACCAAGGGGAGCCATCCTTTACCGACAAAAAGGGAAATGGTTGGTTATATACTACACTGCCAAAAGTGAAGGAACCCAGGATCCATTAAACTTGCTTAATAGGGGAGGGCAAGCCAGTTTAGAGGGAGTTCGTCATTTGTGAGGGAGCCCCCCAATAGTCCTCCAGTTTAATGAGTCGGGGGTCAACATTGAAAGGGGGCGGTGTCCGAAAATTGGGACCTTTTAAACGGCAGCTCAAAAAAACCCGGGGGAGCAAACCTGCGGCGGGCAAGCTGATGGGGGGGAGGCTCCAAGCCAAACGCGTGCAAATGCGAGGGCTGAGGGTGTCTACAAGGAGGTTGTAGTCCTCTGTAGTAGTTGATCAACTCCTGAAATAAGGGATGACCAAAATTATGCAAGCTGGGTTGAGCAGTCTGGCGGGCTGCAGCGCAAAGTGATTGCTAGAACCTTGAACTCGAGCTGCTCGGCCGGCCAGCGAGGGCTGGAATGAGTTGGACTGGGCATGACGGGCTCCGGAGCTAGGGGCTGGGGCCGGGGAGCAAGATCGGCTGGTAACTCGTCGGGCAAAGCTGGCTGAGTAAGCTTGCTCGGCTATAGAACCAAACGGCTGGAAGCAACAGGGATACTGGGATACAAACGTTCATGCCGGCGCAGCTGCGTGGGGAACCGTTAAAATGGGCAGTTTTTTTGTTATGGACTAACAAGGGACTCGACTTAGTGTCCTAGTGACGAGCCTTCGGAAAGCAAACGCGGGACGGAAGCTTTAGAGCTTCAGGTACTGGGGAAGGATTTGGTTTCCGCCCGGCCCCACATTCCTTTTGCCAAGCTGCAAGGATTTCCTCGGCGTCCTGCAGCCGTCTGTCGAGGCTGTCGGGGCGGGAGCCCCGAGAGGAGCCGGAGCTGACGCTCCCAGGGCTCCCGCCCCGACGCCCTCCCCGCTGGTAGCGGCGTCCTCTTTCCATGTTCGGGTTGCCAATCTTCTGAATCCGCAACCCGCGCTGCAAAGTGTGATTTGAAACCGTATGCTGGAGCGTTGAACACCCATGCAACCCATAGTCCGTAATCCGCAAAGCGCAATCCAATCCGTATGCTGCATAATCTGCCATCCGCTAATCATTGCGGATTATGCTTTGAACCTCTTGAGCCAGCTCAAAGCGTTAAAAATTCCCTAGCGGGTGTATTCGCAGAGTGTTCTCTCTAACCCGGGGGTGGTTAAAAGCTGGTTGGCCCCATTCGTAGTTTGGGACCCGTGCCGGTTTCATGTTGGCCGCCTTTTTACGGAGATCCGGAAACTATGAAACATTGATTTTGACAGGACTTTATAAAACCGTCGACGGGGTCCTCTTAACCAAGGCGCCTTCATGAACGGGTGCTTTGTGGGTTCCATGTTTTTTTTGGCGTGTGACATCTCGGTGAATTTGAGCGACGTCTCAATACAGCACTACACGAAATTTGGATATACATGTATATATGTAATAGAATATACACTATAATGGTTGTATAGTTTCATTTTCCCTGGGGATGTGGTTTGGGGCTAGTGGAACCATCTTAGATAATTGGGACGGACCAGCTGGGGCCATTCAAGATAGCAAGGGCCACAGCTCTGCATCCTTATTGAACTTCCAACTGAGATGCCAACTCCTTTTGGGGACTTGCTTGGTTCTCAGGCAACCCTTTGGATTTTAGATATTTCTCGGGTTCAGTAGGATTACTGGCACGTAGTGGCACATCCCACAAGTTTGGCAGTGAAGAGCGAACCACTAACTTTGGTCATGGTTATCCACTTGCCTCTAAGAAAGCAGCACGAATGAGAGCACTACTTGTAAATGCGCTGAGTTCCTGCAGAATTCCCAGAAGCTGGATGCCCACACAAAACGGACCCCAAAACTGCCAGGCAGCCGGTGGAAAAAACTTGCAAGCAACTGCGCTCGCCCTTTGTGAACTACTTACACGAAAGTGTGCCCGGAACACTCATGCTAGTTGCTCCAAAAACGACAATTTCCTGTCAATGTTTCGCGGTTTTCTGGAAAAACGAATTTTTGGGCATCTGGAAGGCAGCGACGTTGCCGTTGATTGATTCTGGACTAGAATCTGAGCATATTTTTGTGTACCCCAGGGTCTCAGCAATGTTTAAACATGTTTAAACATTCCCTGGACTTACTACAGTCCTTGAGAGGGACCTATTTCCGGGGTGATTTCGTGCCTCCAAAGAGGGCCACCATTGCCATAAAAATCATCGTGCCGTGTGTAAAATCTAGTGAGGGTGTGAGATTCAACGGGGGAGCCTTTGGTGGACGTCATCTAGGTGGGGATTGATGTCCACCAACCCTTTGAGTGGGTGTTCCCACTGCCCTTTGTGCCGTAAACACTCGCAACTCCTGGAGAAAAAAAGAAGCGCTTGGAACTTTGCTCGGGTTTGCATGGTTTTCTCTTGCTCGTGTCGAAGCGGCGACGGCCAAGACCATTCGCGAAACACAAAGCAAAAACGCTGTGAACGGGACATAGGACTTAAAATGCCCTGTCGACTGTCTCAAAATGTCCAACAAATCAGCACCACAATAAAGGCCATTTCGTTACAAACAGGTGTCATCACATTACATTCAGGGGTCTGGGTCGAATCAATTAAAGTCAATATGGCTTTATGAGTTTTTGGAGCATTGGAATAGTTGGGGGAGAATGGGCACAAAACCTCTTGAATGTGCATTCCTCAGCCAGAAGTCTCAAGTGCAAGCGGTGGCCTTTTCCTCCTGAGAATGATGGAGAATCATGTCAGAGAATAGGCGGAAGCCGCTGAGTTGCGCAGCAACATGTTTGCTTAGAGTCTTAGAGCGGTGTTGTCAAAATTTGATTGTCTTGGACAGGTTCATTCGCTCATTGGGGGTGCCCTTGGCATCTTCTAGCATCAGAAGCCCGCCTAGCGACGATGCTAATGGAATAGTTGCGAGACTGTAGTTGTCAGTGAAGGTGGTCATGTTGTAGTTCACCTTGAAGATGGTCTGTGGCAGCGTTGTAGTCGGGAGGTAGTAGTTGTGTTGCACCGACATCATGTAGGAGATGTAGTCCCTTGTGAAGTGTAGAAATTGTCCTGAAGTGAGGTACCTCAGGAGTAGTGGTTGTTCAATCTGAAGTTGGATGATGACGTAGTTGGTGTTGTCGCCAGTTGTAGTGTGGAGTGAAGTCGTGTGGTAGTAGTGGACGTTGGCTGCTTCAGGTAGTGAAATGCTGAGCAGTGTAGAGTTGTAGCGGGGCATCCGAAGATCTCCAGGGATGCAGTGAATGGGTCGAGTGTAGTCCAGTTGTGCCAGTGGAGTAGCTTGTTGTTGTGAGAGTAGTTGATACTCTTCAAGTGTAAACGCAGTGAAAAATTGAGTGTATGGAATGTTGTCGGGCAGCGGTGGTGCAGCGGTTGTCTGTCACTGTGGTCGGGTTGTAGTGGACGGTGTTGCCGGGTGGAGAATGGTTGAAGTGGTAGTTGGAGTCGTTGTACGTTTGAGGTGGTGGAGTTCCGTGGTCACTGGAGTCCGTAGTGACAGCCACCTCCGGTGTAGTCGCCCTGTCGGGCGTAGCGGCGTCTCCCATCGTAGCATCTGCAGTAGATGGGGCGGCCATGGCTGCAGTGGAATGCAAAATGTAGTGAAACGGGGCAAAACAAATGAGCCTAAGTAGTTGCTACCAGGCAGTCGGCGAATGCAGACATGTAAAACAAACAACTGTAGTGTTGACTCAAGCCGCCAAAAGTGCAAGCGAAAGTACATGTAGTTACTGTTACTTACATACCAAAAGTGTCGTGTTACATGTAGCTACTTACATACATGAAATGTCCAAAGTCGTTGTTGTTGTTGTGAAACTGCTGCGCTGGTCGTTCGTAGTGCTAAATGCGTATTCCAATGCTCTGGATGAGCCTGTGTAGTGTTTCTTTGCTGATGTATTTGGTAAACAAATCTGCGCTGTTGTGGAGTGTGTTGATCTTAAGGGTTCTGATGATGTCGCGCTTGATGAGGTCTTGTGTGTAGAGGAATTTGAGGTCGATGCGTTGTGCTCGTTTGCTAGTGCCTTGTCGTGTAGCAATGCTCTTGCCTGCTGTGGAGTCTGTGTGGATGCGTAGGTTTAGCTTGCTGCAAATGTTGGTTTCAAGTAGGAAGTTTCTGAGGTGTAGTCCCTCATTAACTCCTGTGCGAATGGCGTAGAGTTCAGACTCTGCTGAGCTGAGTGCTATTGTAGCTTGTGTTCTGCTGCCAAATGCAACTGTTGTTCCTAAAAAGATGATGTTGAAACCTGAAGTTGATTTCCTGGTAGTAGGGCATCCTGCCCAGTCGGCATCGACATGAACGTCGAGATCCAGGATGTTGTTGGTGTTTGCTCTGAGTGTTGTTGTTGGTTCTATGGTGAATTTGTAGTGCTTGGTGCCGTGCAAGTAGCGTAGTAGATGTTTGACTCTCTTTTGTGAAAGTTCTGTAGGTGCTGTGAGGTCTCGTGCTAGTTCTTTTGTGGAGTATGCAATGTCTGGTCGTGTGTATGCTAACCATTGAAGTTTGCCAACAATTCTTCGTACCTTTTGTGTTGTTCGTGGTCAAGTAGTGCTTCATCTTCTATTGTTGGTTTGTAGTGTGCAATTCCTGGAGTGTTCACTGAGTTGCAGTTGTTCATTCCAGACTCCTCGATCATGTTGTCGATGTAGGAGTCCTTTAGTCCAAGATTGCAGTAGTTGCCAAAGTGGTCGATGTTTCTTCCAAGAAATTGTTGTGGTTTGCCAGGTTCGAGGTAGCCGATGTGCTTGAGTAGGACCTGCTTCTGGATGGCCTCGAAGGTGGAGTCGACAGTAGTCTTGTCACCAAGTACCAAGAGGTCATCCACGTAGACCATGATGTAGCAGTCGCGAG